AATTTAGGGACTGGTTCTGGTTTTTAATTTTTTTAAGATAAAACGTGATTCGGATCATTTAATTATATGTTTGGTAATAAATTGATTATTTTTTAAGTCATTTAATGAAAATATCATTACAAATATATTACTATCCATTAAGCATTAGACGGAATTATTATGTGATTTAATATAACAATAGTTTTAGTTTATAATATTTATTTATTCTATCAATTTGATTATAAATCGTGATAATAATATTTTAATTAACTCAAGAAAATATTCTGAATTTTAGATTGGGTAAACTACTTATTAATATCTAAACTATTAGTTTTAGTCTATTTTAATATCTAAACTTTTAATTTTTTTAAAACTATATTTAATTTTTAGTTTTTGTTTCATTTTAATACTCTATTATAAGTTTTGAAAAAAATTTGAAAGCTTAGGTACTAAAACGAACCAAAACTTAGAATTAACACAAAACACATTAATTTTTAATGGCGGTGCTAAAATGAAACAAAAACTAAACATTAAGTATGATTTTAAAAAAATTGAAAGTTTAAATACTAAACAAGATCAAAACTAATAGTTTAAGTACTAAACACATAATTTACCCTTTTAGATTTTGATTTAATAATGTATTCTAAATTTGATTATCCTGATTGTATTTCAAACATTGTAACTCAAGAAAATATTTTTTTTATTGATTTAATAATATTTCTATTTATTTTAAAAAAATACTTTTGAAAATTATGTACTAATTAGAAGTTTGAGCAAGTTTAAAAGGGTCTATTGTAATTAACCCTAAAATTATTTATCAAGAATGTTCTCTAAAATTTCATTTGAAAATTCCCCGACCTAGTCTCGACGCATATCCTCGCCGGCGAACAAGCCTCACCCTGTTCCTCTCCTCCAGTTCCTGGACCAAGAGAAATTAATTGTAAGGTAATCTGAAACCCTAAACTTGATTCGAAGATTGCTTTATTGGTTCATGTGATTTTTGAGTGAGATGATGTTCACACCGCTATTTAGGTCTTTGGCGGTGACGGAAGGCGCCGTTACGCTATCGCTATTTGAAACCCCAATTTCATATTTAAAACGAAATCTTTTCTTTAATGTTTATGCAGATGGTGAAGGAAAAAGAAAGAACTTTGAATGAACCCGAATCGGTAATCTATTTAAAGTCAATCGTTCATGAAAAATGCTTTGTTTTTTGACAAATTGGTGGAGTTAATCCCTGCAAGGTTTTATCTGCCCGATGAGAAGGATAAACCTTGGTTTCAGGGTTTCAGCAAGGCCGAAAAGGCTTCAGCTAAGAAACAGTCTAGAAAAAACATTAAGAAAGCCCGTAGAGATAGGTTAGATCCGGTGAAATCGATGAAAACAACTCTGGATTTGTTGAAAGAGAATTTGGAAAAGGAGAAATCGAATGAGGATAGTGATGGCGAGAAGGAAGAAATCGAGGTTAGACCTATAATGTCCGATTTAGATGGTGGTGTGGAACGGTCAGTGACTTACGAAGAACTTAGGGAAAGGCTTCGTAGGAAAATCGAAGAGCTTCGGAGTGGTCGGAATACTGCCGGTTCGGATAAAGGGAAGAAGAGGAAGAATGTGAGGAATGATAAGAAGGGTAATATCAAAAGAAGCAAAAGAAGGTTGCTGCAAGTAATGATGAGGATGAAGTAGAGAAGGACGTTGAAGAGGCTGCAGAGGAACTTACTTTTAGTCGTGTTAAACTCGGGGACGACGACGATAAACATGGGAAAAGGAAGAGAAAACTTTCCAAGTTCAAGGACCTTGAAAATGCAATGAAACTGGAAGAAGGTAAGAAAGATCCCGAAAGAGGCGAGGTTATCGCGAAGAAGCATTCATGGAAGGCAGCTATGGATAGAGCTGCCGGGATTAAGGTTCACGATGATCCGAAGTTGTTAAAACAGAGTATACACAAGGAGAAGAAGAAGCACAAGAAGAATGTTGAGAAGTGGAATGAGAGGGTGGAAATAACAGAGAAGTCGAAAGCGGAGAAACAGTAGAAGAGATGGGAGAATATAGCGGACAAGATTCACCGGGAGAAAATGCGACGCATCGCAAAGAGAGAGAAGAAGCTGTTGCGACCGGGGTTCGAAGGTCAAGGATGGTTTCATTAATGAAGGGTTCTTATCTTTTAATATATGCATAGCCTTAAGAGTTTTTCATCCACATAATGTGATAGTTGAAGTAAAGGTTACATGTTAGGGAGAAAATGAATGAAGGTTGCTTGAGAACTTGTATACACCTGATTTTGATCGGGCTTATATATATATATATATATATATATAATATTTATTATTATTATATTTATTATTATTATTATTAATTATTATTTACATTACAGGCCAAGTACAAGCAGCCCAATTACAACAGTTGAACTAAGCCTACTAAATTTCACTTAGTAGCCCAGTTATAAATTACAAGCCTAACAGATCAGCAACCCAACAACCCATACCCGAAACCCATGAATTGACCCGAAGAAAATCAGGTCCAGATCCATAGTTAACTTGGATCCGACCCATCTTCAACTAGGGTTTTAAAACCCTAAACTAAATTATCATCCAACCATTGAAATAAGTTGACGTCGCCAGTGACCAACCCTTCAACTTCAGTCGCCACCGCCATGGTCAAGCCACCGAATGAAGCCATCACCGATGAGCCACCGAGATGCCGAGTTACCGAAGGTGCTACGTCACTACCTACGTCAAACAGCAACCAAAATCATCCCAAATAAATTAGCCATCCATTAAACCTTTTTAAATCAAATAAAATCCCCAGAAATTCAGTAATATACCCTACCATTATTACCCCAGCAACCAACGTTTACTATAAATGCATGCAATTATATTCGAACAGGGAAGGAAAAAGAGAGAAAAAAAAAAAAGAGTTCTACCTTGAATCCTTCGACAACTATAGATCTGGTGCTTGAATTGCAAATCCGAGCAGTGGAGAGGTTTAAGGTGGTGAGTAGGCTGACATATCTTGACTAAATGAAGAATGAAAGACTAAATGCCCGTGTTTTGGGCTTATATATCCCTAGTGAAACTACACCGTTTCAACAAGGACCTATCACGTATTTTCTGGTTACGGGATATTAGCAACTTCGGTCCCTCTGCCTTTGTATATTTATTTTCAAGTCATAAAATGAAGTTATGTTTATTTTGTTTTAAGTATTTAATTTTTAATATTCATATTTTAGTCATATTATTTCATGTTAAGTTATTATTATTTGAATTTAGTTATAATGTTTGTAATTATTGTATGTTAGTCACTGATTTATATTTTCGATATTGTTCAATTTAACCTCGAAATTTTTAAATATCTTATTTTAGTCATGCTATTATTATAATATTATTTGTTTCAGGTTTATTTGCAAATTGAGTCTTCACTAAATATTATTTGTTTTAATTCGATCATATTATGTTACATTTTATTTTTTGCTCAATATAAGTAATATATTTTAAATTATTTTAAATTTATTCTATAATTTTGGATAATTTATATTTTAATCCTAATTATATGGTTTTGTTATAATTTAGAATTTTAAATTGTGTTATTTTCACATTATGAAATATATAAATTATTAGATTGGTTAGACATTTAATTTTTCAGTCTTTTTATTATTTAATTTATTTTGCTTATTTTTTTATTTCATCTCAAAGTTTAAAATAATATTATAAATATTTTCTTATTCAATATATTTTTTAAAGAGTTGTTTATGTTATTTTACTTAAAGGGTGATAGTCAATTTATATTTGATTTGAATTTTTAAAAAAAATCAATGAGGATGGAATTTTTAAATTTGAATAAGAAATAGATGAAATAGCTTTCCCGACAAGGGATTGCTAATGTCGAGATTTCTTTTCAAATTAAAGAATTTTCTTTAATTAATTAATTTGAAGAAAATTAATTAATATTCAATAAATAGATCATATTTTAACTTTATATTTGATTCATGATTTCTACTATTTACAACTACATGTAAACAGTGTCAATTTTGGGCGTTGTGGGGTGCTAATCCTTCCCCACGCGTAACCGACTCCCCGAACCTATTTTAATCGAATCTTTGGTAAACACATACCAACTTTTTGTCTTGAAACGATTTTTCTTAAAATTGGTTTTAAAAAAAACATTTTTTAGGTATTCGACCTACCTAACCCAAAGGTTGATGAAGATTCTTTTCAATTTAATTCAAAATCACTAAATTTTCCACATTAAAGTCGTAACTGTCTTTTTAAAGAATTCCACCTAAAATGGTTATGACAAAACTCAATTGTGTTATTGAATGACATAATGTGTAACTTGATTGATTTAAGTGTAAATTATAGTACCTAATTTTTTAATTATTTTAAAATTATATTTAAAATTTAATTTTTGTTTCATTTTGATAAAAATAAAAATCTAGGTACACTATCTAAATCATAGTTAAGTTTATAAAAATATAAAAATTAAATACTTTAAAAAATATTAAAATTTAAATACTAAAATAGATCAAAATTTATAATTTAATTACTAATCGCATTAAGTTTTTTATTATCATAATTTTATTTTTTTAATATCATAATTTTATATTAAAAATATCAAATTTTTTTATTAAAATGAAACAAAAAATAAGTTTTTTAGATATGATTTAAAAAAAATAAAAGTTAAAGTACTAAAATGGATCAAAACTGATAATTTAAGTCTAAAATAGATCAAAACTGGTAATTTAAGTCTAAAATAGATCAAAACTGATAATTTAGATACTAAATACGTAATTTACCCTTAATTTGTTGCAATTAAATTGTAAGTCTCTCTCTTACAAGCTTGATGCAGATGTTTAAGTTGTAAATTCTCTTTCCAAACATCATGAAGCTTTCATCTATGGAACTTGATTGTGTAAGTTCCCATAGAAAAAGACCAGAATCATTAAACCTTACAGACCAGATATCATCACAGGAACATGAAAAGATCAAACATAACCCACTTTCAAATGAAAAAAGTTTGTCCAAATTCAGCAAACGGAATTACATGATATTTAGCTACTTAAACTGTGGTCCTTATCAAACCCTGGACCCTGTTACTCCAGTGCCACCCTTTGTCCCCAGTTCATCCCCGGTTCCTCGCATGCCATAGTCGGTATCTCGATACCCCGGTCCATACCGACTGCTGTACACACCAGCATGGATTAGTAACACATACAAAAGTTGAGTAAATGTGAGGATTATTATAAATGCTTCAAGTATTCTCAGCCTCCATCCTCTCCACCCTCCTATGCTTATATGCTTGCAAGCGAACCTGCAAGCAACCAAATATCGTAATCTTATACATGTATCCGAATATTTGAATAAAAATCGAATCGGAGATCAAAGTTCACCCAAATGCCAGTGCAGTCAAGGTCCAAGCAATAAGTGCAGATGATCCGGCTGCAGCCAAACTATCACTTCTCCATGACCTAACATGTTGAGCTCCTGCAAACTTGGACACTATGCCCACTACGGCAGCCACAATAGAAAATGTCAAGAAGAAACCTGTTGCTCCATTTCCACTCATACCTGAAAATAAGACGTAAAATTTTATGTTAGAGAAGATATTTTTATAAAATTTTAGGGAACAAAAATAGATTTTCAACAGAAAATACAAAGAAAATATCTAAATTATATAAATACAAGTCTTCGTCGATCCCTGACTGAAAACATGATATTACCAAGGTTATTTTACGATTTTTACTTTTTCATCACAACCATTAATGGGAAAGTAACGAGTAAACTCACTCGGATGATTAGTCTGGCCATTGATATACCTATTAACACACCAACTAGCAAATCCCAACACGATAAAATACATAACCAGGTTGAGGAACAACAAAGGAGCTGCTACGCTTCTTCCTGCAGTAGCCATTTCTTCTTCTCTCTCGGACAGAACACAGATGATGGTAATTCTTGTCTTGAAGATTGTTGTGTTTGTGGTTAAGAGCGAGTGGGTGATGAGCTAGGACAGTGGAAGAGGGTAATATAGAGAAAGATAATGGCGTAAAAGGGAAGAGATGCATACGTGTAACTTGCATGGCGAGGAACAGGAAACAGGTGGAAAGACACTTGTCGAAAATGGTGTTTACGTTTCCAAGAAACGGGGGTGTTAATCAATCTCGAAGTTTAAGATTTGTTGGAGACGGTGATGCAGAGAATAATATTAAGGGAAAAGTATAATAATGGTCATTGAACTTTTTTGAAGCCTGCTTTTAGGTCCCCAACTTTTAAAACTTATAATACAGTCTTCAACATTTAGTTCGTTTGCAATATGGTCCCCGATGTAACCGTCCATTTGACACCGTTACATTTCCGTTAGTACATTTGCAATATGGTCACTAAACTTTTCAGGCACTTGCATTTAGGTCTCCCAATTTTTAAAACTTGCAACATAATCCTCAATTTCATTCTAAACCCCAAATTCCTTTTCGATCTCGAATTTCCTTTTTCGCTTCTCTCTTATCATTTCCAACGTAACTTTTTCAGTAGGGGATGCATGAGAAATTCTAATCTAACTTTGAATTATGTGGAAGTGATGACTTGAATAAGGGTCCATTGAGAGAAGGTCCGACCAAGGGACTATCGGGACCATCAACGATTCAAAGTGTAATGTTAGATACATGTCATCTCAGGTGAAGCATAGATGTTCGATGAAATACTTGTGAGAAAAAAATGGGGTTAGAAATGCAGAGTTGACAAATACCACTAATATAAACTAAGTATCATTGTTGAAAGTCACCAACAAAGCTGGAATTATTTTGTATAAATGACATATAATAATTTATTCGTTTAATCCTTGTGGTTAAAGATTTCCCAACAGATGATCAAATATAATGAAATCTCAAACATCGCCTTTACCTCTCAGTCTCTTTCGCTCACATGCACTCTCGTTTGTATTTGTTCTTCAGTTTTCTGCCATGTAAAATTGTAAACCCAAGCAGTGATCTGTCTTTCAGCTTTTTATTTACAAAGAAAAAAATAGAGGAAGAGTTGCTGGAACGCAACATCGATTGCATTTATTTCTTAGCCTCTCCCCTCACTTACAAGAAGATATTTATTTTCTCTTTTGGGCTATCCGGAAGTAAGCTTTTCCTCTTTCGCACTTTCCCATTTTTAGCTCGCATTATGTGTTTTTTTGTTGAAATTTTTATGTTTCTGGAACTGCATGTCAAGGATCTGGATATTCAGTGTTAGTTTTGAACCAAAACCATCTAATTTTCTTTCTTTTTTCTTAATCAAAACTTTTAGTACTTCTTATGAAAGATATTCAGTCCATCAGAATAGAAGTGAAAGAGGGTCCTAGGCTAAATTTTTTGATCTTCTTGTTTGGTTTTTCTTTAAATAAGGGAATTCGTTGTGAGTATCGACATAGTGAAATCGCCAGGCTCATTCCGAGAGACTCCTGGTACTAGTTTATAGGGAATTATATTGATCTGACCTGTGGTTTTCGGCGTCCTGTGAGCTCGTGTTCTTTTTAATAAGTTCATGTTGATTATGGGACTGATATATCGTGAACAAATTGGATTTTTTACATGTTTTGGAATTTTTACAGTTGAATCTGTATTGAATTATAGCTTTAGAAGACAATTTTGCATGCATGCAACTCGAAAGACATCATGACAGGGTAGTATATTTGGAGTAACTACTTGATATGTTGCCCGATCTTTGCTTATTTGTACCTTCATTTCTGGCATATATATGTTTGTTGTAGTGTCCTCTATGTTTTACAATGTCTTTTATTGCTGACATGCCATGACTTTACAAGGATTATGCGGTCCTATGATTTTAGTTACGCTATCTGCTTTAGATTCTCATCATGTTTGGCTATTGAGGAACATTAAACATGGAGCATTAGAAGCAATTATATGTTAAAAGGGTAGGCCATTAATGCATTTGCAATTGGTAATGTTGTATTTGACATCTAATGTCTATCTTAAACAACCCATTTGACGCCTTGGCTTTTGGAGTGACTATGACCGAACCTCTTTCCCTTTATTTATTAAGTCCTCTTTCCCTTTATTTATTAAGTCCTCCTTTTGAACAAGTTCCATCCAAACCTATTGGATTATCATACCAAAGTGCGGCAGCTACGAACAAGACAAATTGGCCTTGTTACTTTTACTTCAACGGTTTATGCAATAAACGTGATAGGTGCACTTTTCATGTTCAAAGTGCGACAACCGTTGGATGTGCATACACCAAACCTCAAATTTATATATTAAAGTAAACACTACCAAATAGCAAATTCTTGTTTAAAATTCCAAAAACACTTTAATTACATTCTAAACCCCATATTCTAAAATATTTTAATTACATTCTAAACCCTAAATTAAAGTATTTTAGAATTTAGGGTTTAAAATGTAATTGAATTGTTTTGGAATTTAGGCTTTATAATGAAATTGATGATTGTGTTGCAAGTTTTAAAAGTTGGGGGACCTAAATGCAAGCACCTGAAAAGTTCAGTTACCATATTGCAAACGGACTAAATGTTGGAGGACTGCCACGTCATCTTCTTCTAACCGCAGTGTAACGGCGTCAAACGACCGGTTATGTCGGGGACCGTATTGCAAACGAACTAAATGTTAGAGGACTGTATTGCAAGTTTTAAAAATTAGGAGACCTATATGCAAGCTTTAAAAAAATTCAGTGATCATTACTATATTTTACCCTAATATTAATTATTCCATAATTATTTAATATGATCGTAATGCAACTACTTTATCATTGTACTTTGGGTTGTTCAAAGAAAATTGTAACATAATTGATATAATTGTTACATTTAGTAGGTTAACTATTGGACTGTTTATGTTAAATAATTTAGATTAACCGAACCGTTAAAATAATGATTAACTTACAGTTAAGAATTTTGATAAACGGTTAATCGTTAATAAATTAAATTTATAAATATCTTTTTTAGGAAAAATAGTAATAGAATTAAAATTAAATTTTAGCCATATTCTTAAAATTCACATATTTTTTATAAAATTTGTACACAAATAATTATTATATATATATATATTATATTATATTATATTATATTATATTTTTATTTCTTTGAAAATACAAAAATATACTTACATTAATATAATTATATGCTTATTGTTACGTACTAAAATATTGAAGGATATACATATTTATATCAGTGTAAATATGTATTAAGTAAAAATATTTTTTTATTTTATTTACTTACACAATATAAATATGTGTTAAGTGCTATATTTTTTTGTAGTATGAATAATGAAACTTTAAAACGTTCATGTTGTTTTATTATTATAATAGGCTAACCATGTGTTAACCTGTAACTGAGCCATTAATTACAGTTAGATTCAGTTAGAAAAATCTTATAATCGTTATAACAATTAATCTACCATTTGAGCTAAACAATACAGTTAACCGTCCACGAACAATCCTAATTGTATTTATCATTTTTCTTATAAGCGGGAGAATAATGAATTGCTTGAGATTTGAGATTGAATTTAAAATTTAATATAAGCATGATTAAAATAGTGTATTTTAAATTAAATTTTGAACGAAGTATTTAAATTTAAGTTTAATCCAACTTAACTATTTTTTTAAAGCAAGTGCCGGTTCATTTATTATTTTAAGAAAAAAGAAATTACAAACTGCTAGTTTTACCTCATTTGCTACTGTGGGGTCAGCCATCGAAAACCAAAAATTGAAATGGTTCTTCCATTCCTTTCATTTGTTTTTCTTTGAGGATTTCACGAGGGAATGACTTGAGATGAGATAGAGCCTTCTTGCGCTGGAAATATTTCTTTAGTGCGTACTTATGGTGGATCCAACCACCTTCTGTCTTCTGTTACTTGTCTCTTCACTCGATCTGGAATTTCCTCTATCCAGAATTTATCTTCTTCACCAAGACTCGAGTATGTGGCTAGTATATGCGCCGCTTTGTTTCTTTCCCGATGGGTGAATCTGTATTCGCAGGTAATCAGTTGTTTCGCTCGGTTCTTTACTTCCCAGATTAACGCACTGATTTCTGAATGGTCTGGATTTGCAGAAGTGAGTTTTGAAGTTTCCGTTCTTGAATCGCCTTCTAAGATAATTTTCCTGAAGCCAAGATCTACTACCAACTGGATTGCGTGTTTTGCTGCCACAACTTCTGCTTCAAAGGCTGAGGGAACGCTTCGGGTCAATTTTCTACATGCTCCCATTTCTAATCCTTCGTTATTTCTGATCACCACTCCTGACCACGATCTTTTTTCGTTTAGTTTGAAGCTTGCATCGTAGTTAACCTTTACTGTGTCCATCGGTGGCGGGATCCAGGTAGATTCAGGGATTTGGTGAGGATTGTGGAGATTGATATTTGCTCGTAAATAGTCTCTGCATTGACTTTGTATAATGATTATAATTTCGTCTCTGTTGAATGTTTTGCCTTCATGTAGTCTCTTGTTTCTTGCATACCAGATTACCCATATACTGGTTAGTATTTCAGCATGCTTTCCTGTTGCGCGATTCTCCAGTACCCAAATTAGCCATTCTTTAAAAGTCTATTGCGTGTTTTGCTCTGGCCATATGTATTTTAATTTCTCCCATACCGATTTGCTAATCAAACAGTCTTTAATAATATGGATTCTAGACTCTACTTGGTTTGGGCATGACTGACATCTTGGATTGTTTGCTATGCGTCTGTAATGAAGCATTTGGTTGGTAGGGATGAAATCTAGGAAAAACTTCCATACCTGTACCTGATTTTCCTTTGACATTTGCATGTCCAGATTTTTTTTGAATAGGGTTTTATTTGAGATTGGGCCTTCTTCTGAATTCATAAGTAGTTTATACGCTCTTCTGACTGTATATTCTCTAGAATGTTCTCCACTCCATACATTTTAATCTATTTGATTAAAGCTAGATATTGGAATGGATTTTATCTC